GGTTAGTTACGGGTGTTAGCGGTAGGTTACTGGTTAGTTACTGGTGTTAGTCAGCACTTATTGCTTTTACTAATATTACTCGTATTACTGGGAAGTACTGGAAAACGATTGGTGTTACTGGGAAGCTACTACACAGTCATTGCTCTTGCTGAGTAGTTAGTGGGGTTACTGGTTAGCTACTGGGAGCTTAGTGGCTTTACCGAGAGAATATTGGTGTTACTGGGATATACCGGGAAGTTATTGGTGTTATTGAGAAGTCACCAATTGCTACTGGTGTGAATGAAAAATTGCCATGCAGCCATTGCTTTTACTGGTTGGTTACTGGTGTTACTGGTTGGTTACTAGTTTGTTACTGAGCAGTTACTAGTTTTACTAATAGGATACTGCTGTTACTGCAAAATAACTGGTGTTACTGGGAGTTTCCCAGCTGCTACTGGTGTGAATGAGAATTTACCACGCAGGTACTGCTCTGGTTCATTAGTTACTGGTGTTACTAGTCAGCTACTGGTGTTACTGGGGAACTACTGCTTTTATTAAGGCTATACTGGTATTACTGGGAAGTATTGGGAATTACTGGTGTTACCGGGAAGTTGCTACCTGTTACGGGTGAAAATACAGTTTCTGAACTGCTGCTGCTACTGGGTAGTTACTGGCGTTACTGGGGGGGGTCGCTGGCGTTACTGGGTGGTTACTGGGTGGTTACTGGGAAGCACTGGTCTCACCTGGGGGAAGACGGAGGCCTGCGAGGTCTCGGTGGCAGCAGGGACGGGGGTGGCGGGTGACACCACCTCCACCTTACGCTTCTGCAGGGACACCCGTCAGTCCCTCCCAGTCCCTCCCAGTTCTTCCCAGTCCCGCCCAGTAACACCCAGCCCTGCTGCTGGGGGGCGCAACTGGGACCAATAGGAGGCTCTGTTGCCCCTCCCCAGTGCTCCCAGTATTGCCCCAGTAGCCCCTAGCAGTCCCCAGTTATCACCCCAGTGCTCCCAGTGTCACCCCAGCAGCCCCCCAGTGCTCCCAGTATTGCCCCAGTAGCC